ATACCCTAGAAAGGAAGTCCCTGGTGCCATCGTCTTCCACCCTGAGAATACAATTCGCTTATAAAAATGAGTTGGCATTAGGAGGACTGCAGAGTTTGGGTGTGGTTTGTTTGGCTATCCACTGAATTGTCCGTGATTGACACTTTCATAGTTTTTTCAGATTTGTTGTTTTCAAATTTGTTTCTGAGCAGCGCTCATTTTTAATCAAGAAGTTGAGAGAAGCTGTAGATTGATATTTCTTTAGCCTATGAGACTCACAGGAACAGTGATATTCGAGAAACGATAAACCCGGTGTGTATGATAATAATAATAAAAATTCGTGTGGTAACAGATTAACAATACAGAGTATCACCACCCCTATACATACCGTGGATGTCGTAAGAGCTGACTAAGGGAGTAAACTGTGCAGGACAACAGCACTGCTAAGAGAAGGAAAACTTGAAAGCCTATACCAACCCGCCGGCCTAAATCTCATTTCTAAGGCCTCCCCCATGGATTTCCAACAGTTGACTAGTAAAAGCTGTTAATGATGATAGATAAAAATCGTATATACGTAGATCTAAACAAAAAAAAATGAAAATCGGACTTTACCATGATTTCGATGTGGGTACGATAAATTCAATCAGAAGTATCCAAAGTTTACTGCTTAAAGGTTCTTCAACAGCCTTTAATAGTCCACTGCTGGACATAAGCCTCTCCTTAGAAAGGAGGTTTTGGCCTACTATACCACGCTGGCCAGACGGGTTGGTATAGGGTTTGTGTCAAGTTTTCCTTCTCTCTGCAGTGCTGTTGTTCTGCGTAGTTTTTTTCCCTTAGTCGGCTCTTACGACACCCACGGGATGAATAGGGGTGGTGACACTCTGTATTCTTAATCCGTCACCACACGGACAGCTTAAAGGTTGCTTATAATGATTTTCCTAGTCTCTTTAAACTCTTATTTCAATGTATTGATTGCTTACTTGTAAGTATGACGTATGATGTATTATGGTCATTGTATTCTGAATGTTCTGCGTAAACCAGTTCATTGTAAAACAACTCAATAGATTTATTTAACCAATTAGTAGCAAATACTAAAAAGGTAAATAAGTATTACTACAACAGTTTATTTCTGATTACGAGAAATCACACCATACCTCGTGCTAAGTACTGTATACACAATACAATGTGACAAACAGTTGACATTTGAGTACGTGTTACGCGTCGCTGGGAATTCTCGGCGCGACACACTAAGTCTGCAATATTTACTAACTTATAAATAGAACATGCTATAAGTTGTGATGCGGAAGTTCACTACATGGACAATATTTTTTCCGTTAGGTACTTTCCTACTGACGGTTATAATTATGATCATCAAAATAAACTGTAGAGGAGTAGTAACAGGCTCGCTTTCGTGTGCCGACACGGAATTCTATTTACTGGGGCATCCCTATAAACCATTATATGATTGTATGCCTGTTGAAAAATATGCGCTCATGTGTAGGGCTCCGCTTAACGCTCCTTGCGTCGCCGTTGTTTTAATTTAGTCAGGCGCATAAACCCGCTTTCGTGGACAAGCGTGATTACTGAAATAAGCACACTGGTACACTGAAAACAGATTATGTACCTGTTTTTTGAAGTAAAGTAATAGTTATATTTAACAAAAACAAACAAATCGTTACTAGATTCGGTATCATATAGGAAAAACAAAACACAATTCTCTGTGATAGTTAGTATTTAATGTATAGTTGTAAGTGTAGTTTCGATATCCGTTTTTCTTTCACTTTTTTTACTTTTCATTATGTCATAATAATGACATCGATTGAGCATCTATGAAAATAAATGTAAACGTTTATAAGCTGCGAATTATTTTATAAAACTTATGTTTAAATCCCTCGAGAGACGCCTGTCTCTCGAGTGATGCAGGATTAACAAATACCTATGCCCTATCTACCGGGCAATAGTTTTGCGTTTGGGAAATCGTGGGGCGGCTTAATCCTGGCATGCCATTATGAAGAATTGGATGCGTTATGGAGGATTGGCTCGAGAGGAAACACAGGACCCTCACAGGAAACAAAGGATGCTTTGGAGATCACCTGTGCCACGACTGCGATAGCCTGAACGTGGACAGGACGCTTCACACTCTGGCAAGAATGGCTGGCGTGTGTGGAGCAGAGGCATGACCTCGTGACTGATTGCGGCCACTGTAAGGAGCGAGAGTGCATGGAGAGTGCGAAATGGGACCGGGAGACGTTTAGAACCTTCAAAGCCCGTAGATAACTCGGGGTCCGTCGGGGTATTAGGGATTACCTTTCTAGGTTACATCTGGTACCCGAGACTGGTCGTCCGGTGTGGGTATCCGAAGAGAGATTTCCGCACGGGAAAAAGGGCATCGTAACGGCATTGCACTTGGGCGCTCAAACATAAGCCTACTGTCCCATATTTAGGCCGGTAGAAATAAAAAAAATGTAGTGACAAGCTATTGAAATAAAAATTAAAAAGGTGCAGTTGCAGGCGGTGCAGTATCAGTTATTATCCATTTTAGAAATTTTAAAAGTATATCTAAAAGTACATTGCAGACATATGGGACAGTAGGCTTATCTGGGTAATTTTTTTCCTAAATAGGTGTTGTACTATATAAACATAAATACCTTACTAATATATAATATGCAAAAAAAAGTAAAAAATAATACGACATACGTAAGGCCTTGAGGCCTTGGGGCCTTAAGGCCTTCGTGCACAAAACAAAACATATAACAGAGGGATTTTTCTAATGTAAACATTGCGTTGCACACGAACGTTCACAAAGTTGAGAAATTACAACTGAGAGATAACATAAATTATGATTGCGATTTAGGAATGGGTAGTTGATAGGAATTTAAACTTTATTTGTTATACCGATAATAGAACTACTTAAGCCGCTAAGATGGTGGGATTCATTGAAAGAAATACAAAACAGTTTAAGAAAGTAACAACCAGTCTACTTTTATACAAAAGTCTCGTAAGAAGTGTATTAGAATTTTCTAGTGTCACTTGAAATCCTCACTACTCGAATCATTCGTAACCATTAGAATCCATTCAGAGACATCTATCCAGCATGGCTTTGGGCGAAGAGCTCCGATTAAAACATTATAAGTAACACCTGCTTGGCGTACCGCACGACGTAAATATCTGATTTAAATTTTCTTGGAATAAATTCACCAATTGTAAGAATGTGCAATACATCCGATTATTTAAACGCGAAGAATTATGCAGTCTGGATATATGGGGTCTACCAATAAGAACGTCCTGGTTTAAAAATTGAATAAAACACACAATTTTTTATGAAAAATGCATCTGATTGATTTATTTGATAGATAATTTTATGCAATTTATGTTTTAAATAATATATTGGCCAAATGACCGCCGCGGCTCTTTTTGCAGACGGTCACACGCTCACGCCACTTGTCGATGACGCGGTGCACCATTTCGGCCGGTATGTCGGCTATGGCTTGGCGAATGTTGGTTTTTAGGTCACGAATTGTAGCTTGATTATTGCTATACACTTTAGATTTAACGTAACCCCAAAGAAAATAGTCTAAAGGTGTTAAATCACACGATCTTGGTGGCCAACTGATCGGTCCATTTCTTGAAATTAACGACTCACCAGACTTTCCAGGCAATAATTCCATGTTCACTCGAGTAATGTGAGGTGGTGCACCGTCTTGTTGAAAATAAAGGTCGTCTGCATCAACATCATCAAATTCCGGAAAGAAATATTCGGTTTACATCGAGTTATAGCGCTCGCGCTCTTACTGTAGCGGTAGGAGAACGCGAATTTGCGTAATTATTTTGGACAATTTCCAAGCGTTGGTTTAAAGTGAAACGTGAAATGATAAAATGGCAAACCTTACTGAACACAAATGTCAAGAGACGTCAAAGATCCATCATATATATATATATATAAAATGCGCTTAAAGAATTTGGTTTAGAAAGTGTTTGTGGTGTGGTAAAGTTAAAAAAAATACAAAAATCATATAATAGGGGGATTTTTCTAAGGTAAAAATTTTCACATTTTCTAAATTTACGTATGGTTTTACCTACGACAATGATGATTTTACTAATTCTGTTATTCGGAAACTCTCTAAACTATACTAAAAGTGATTAAAATTTAGTTTAGTCGCCATTTGACAAAACCGTATTTACTTTGACCCAACTAAAATGAGGTAAGTTTCTAAAATTAGTCGAAAATTGCTCGTTAGCCATTCAGTTGTACGTAATAAACTGAGAGATTGACTGAGAAAGACTCATTGGTTTTATTCTTTCACAAGACATTTCCAGAATATGTTGATAATTATATAATTATGTATATAATACACCACAGAACATGTTCGGCTGGTACTTAAAAGAGGAGCGAGTTACACCTGAACTCGGTGAAAAAATCGACTATCAAATTCAAAAACATTACTGGAGTTTAAAAACTGTTGACTAATTATAACTCTTAAGTGTTTTTTGTGGACTTTTTTATTCTAATTATAAGTGACTAACCGATATATGCTGCAAGAATATAGATATTGTAAAGAAAATGCAAAATGGAGAACGTTTTGATATTCAAAAATGTTGTTGTCGTAATAGTGAATCATAGTAATAATAAATTCTATATGACAAGTTCTTCGTATGGCTCATCCATCTGGTACACTATAGTTTTTCAATTTACCAGCACTATAATTTACTAACAACAACCTCAAAACATTAAAGTCATTGGAATTTTCATAAAACATAAGATATACAATTTAATAGGAAGAAATTAAAAATCGTGTTGACTAGCGCCACCTATTGGATAATTATAGAAATAAAAGATCGGTTACTAACATAATTAATATTTGATTTGGCAGTAGAGCACGCTGATAGTAAAAAGTTAGCCCATAAACAAAAAGATGGCGCCAAAGTATTCTGAGTGTGCAGGAGGTAAACAAAAAGTGATAAATACAGACAATCTTACTTGCACACAATGGTAATGTATAAATGACCTGAAATGTGCTAACATGTCTAAGGGAAGTTTTAACAATATGAAGCCTTTTGAGCTCAAGAACTGGAGGTGCCAAGCTTGTCTCTGTAAGCTACTAAAAACTAACAATACAGAAACACCTGTGCGGCAGAGTAACAAAGATATAGCCACAACATCGGTAGATTCCTGTAACATAACCATTAGGAGAACACAAACCAACACTAAAAATGTCACGGTAGAATCTGATGATCTGAACTTAACAGTGAGCGACTTCTGAACGAAAAACTACACACAGAATTAGACCTTTAAAATTTAAGTGAAATCATCACATTACGTTTAAAGAAACACAACGTATCCATTATCTCATAAATACAGCGTACAACACAATCAGAAATTGCCAAAGCTATCACAACAGTAGTGGAAGATATTAAACAGGAAGTAAACGAATTAACGAAGCAAAATGAAGAAAGAAAAACTGATCTAGAACAAATTACTAAGAAGATAAAAGACTTAGAAAAAGATAACGAAAACTTTAGACAAGAAATACAAAATTTTAAAAAAAATCTAAGCACTCAGAACTCCTTAGGAATGACAACAGTAAAAAATCGTTTTCTATGGCTTAACAGAATTTCACAAAGAGTTAGAGATTTTAATATAAATACTTTAGGAAATACAACAAATATATTTTTTTTTTTAAAGACAACTTCCGCATTAGGAAAATATCTTTACAAACAAACATGAAACGGACACAAAGAACACCCAAACTCAGAACAACAATTTGTTGATCACACAAAGTGTCGTCTGTGATCGGACCCACAACACTCAGCCTAGTAGTAAACGGCGTAGCGACCGCTTAAACCACTACGCCATCCGTGCAGTGCAATTTAATGTTAGAACACTAATTTAGGCAATATATAAAACAAACAACCCTCACAACGCTGACTAAATCCACATGCTTGGACTTAATTTTCGCAATTTTTAATATCCACACTTTTTACACGTCAGTTGAAGAATTTGGCTTCTCAGACCATAACGGTGCTATTATCCATATAAAAACACCCCAACAAAAAACGCACACCACTTGGTACATAAAGAAAAGGTTATTTAATAATTTAACATAGAACACTTTAAAAATAAATTACACAATATGAAGTTGTCAAACATACTAACAGTAGATAAAATATAAACGAAAATTACAGCGTTTTTAACACAATTATAACAAAAAACACTTAATAAATACATACCAATGAAAAAGTGAAAATTACATACACTTGCAATAAACACTGGTTAACCACGAGCATTAAAAATTCATGTAAAAATAAAAGATTGCTAAAGATACTAACAATACAAATAAATAACCCTGTTCTGCCAGAATACTATGAAAATACGAAAAACTATTAAAAAAGGCTGTAATAACATCAAAAACTACATTATATAAATAAAATAAGATATCAAGCTTCAAAGTGAAAACCATGTGGAATATAATCAACAAGCGTACAAATAAAAAAGAAACGAAAAACGCAACATAAGACAGAAACATGACAATTTGGAAATATCTGAGCCAAAACAAATTGCGAATACTTTTAATAGTTTCTTTGCGTCAGTCGGTATGAGTAACTATCATTCAGGAAGTAACAACCCTATAGTCCATCAACGTCGTGCGCGACCGTCCTGCGGGGTGACAGACGGTGGCGGGGACGAGGCACTCAAGATGTCAGCGGGTAGCGGGTGGTGTAGCGTTGAAGGGAAACGCGTGTAGCCGTGTGCTAGAATGACGCGCTACCTCGCCCCCGCCACTGTCTGTCACCCCGCGGGAATATAGTAGTAGGGAGATTGCCGGGTTATAGTAGTACACGATTTTGACGAAATTTCACGAGTTAAAATTAGGTATCGGTTCATCTCATCGCGTTCGTTGTGTTTATTATTTACTAACATAGTTAAAGTCAAATTGTTACTAACACTATGAGTTTTATTACTCGATTGGCTATTGATAAATTAAAAATTAGGAACCTACTCATCAACATCAGCATCGCAAGTTTTATCTGCATTTGAATTTTTGGCTTAAAAGCAAGGTGGTGTACGGCCAGACAGTTTTATTTTTAAAAAATACGTTTTTGACGTGACAACGTCTTATAATTCGATGGAGCCGGCTGCACGCACGAAAAAACATGACTCATGCGGCGTTACCTCGCTCTGAGGCGTTCCATTTAAGGCGTGAAGTGCAAGCGAGAGCGCAGAACGAGTGACAAAGAGGCACAATCGGCCTCCGCGTTCGGCAGCGTTCGACATTTGTCTCTCTCCTACTTGAGTGAGCGATGCGTCCGCGTGGACAGCTGCTACTCGGATACAATAATACATTTTTGAAAAATGCAATCATTCCATCAGTATTTTCTTATGACGTTGTCACGTTCAACTATCGTCAGTAAACCGACTTTACAGACAACCGATTTTTTTATTAATTTAATTGCTTTTGCTCTAGCTTATGTATTTATTTTCATTTAGATTAATGTTATTGTTTCTTGATTAGTTTTTTATTAAATGGATATGTCACGGCATATGTACTTGTATACGAAAACAATTAAGACGAGATAAATCCTGTGTTGCGTACTGAGGGCGTTACTGTCGCTTAGGGTACTTCACAAACATGCATTAAACGGCCACAAAGAACACCCAGACTCAGAACAACAATTCGTGGATCACATAAAGTGTTGTCCCCTAGTAAAGACCGAACCTAAACACTCAGCGCAGTAGGAAGCAGCGTGGTGACTGCTTAAATCACTACGCCATCCGTGCAGTCATAGTTGAGTACAAAAAAGGTTTACAGATAGATATGTGAACTATGTAAAACTATATTTACTTAGCTATGACGCTTAGCTAAAAATTACGACATTTTGTTGAATTAACTATATGCATTAATAATAATTTGTTCTAAAAACCTAAAAACTACATTTTATTAATTCACTCTATGTCAATTATTCTTAATTTTTCAACAACGGTAACAATTGCCTATAACTTTTAATGATGTTAGATTAAAATGTAATGCTGTCACAATGAACACTAAATTTAGTCCCATTTGACAACATCAACATCACAGTAACACAACAAGGAAGAACCATGTTTTAATTTATTCTACTAATAGATATTGCTTTATTATAATGTTAGTAGTTAGTTACATTTATGAAATCAATTTAAGTTTGAAATGAAGAGTTACACTAGTCTATAAACACTGACAACTGCTTGCCATCAGTTGTATCTTCTTAAGATTGCTAATTTCCTTATTATAAAGAAAGAAACTTTAAAAGTAATTTGTGAAGTCATGAAAAATAGCAATAACTGTTCCATCCTGTTGAGTATTGGTTTATTAATGTAATGTTGCTAACACATGCCCAAACACCTCGAGTTTGATTTGAGCATTTGTTAGCACCTTTTCAAGAATGTCTTATATCTGCCAGAACTAGTAGTCATGCTATGCTCTGACGTGCCATTGACAGCTGCCTGCTCGACAAATTTATTGATATTCTTTGATGAAAATAACAGTTTTGGAAACTATTCTTAATGAAGCTGATGCCTGCGACTTCGCCTGAGTAGAATAAGCACTTTGAGTAATTTAGTTTTAGTGTCCAACATTTTATCAATCTCTATTTTGATTGAGTAATTGTAAAAGCATGTCAAAAGCGCTTATATTTGTGTTCAAAGCATAAGTTACGGTGGATTAATACTCTAGACCTGTACACCTACAAAATTCCTACAGAGCATGATGTACTTCAACACATGATATTCCAGCAGGGAGTCCTGCTTGCCGTCCCTATAAACTGAAACAGGCTTGGTCGCCCGTTAAACAATAGGCTCTAACAGTAGAGGACGTCGGCGACAATACCAGCCGTCGCCGCGGCCGCGGGCCGCCAGAGAGTGGGGTCCTCAGGTGGCAGATTGTTTTTTTTTTAATAAAAGACAACAAAGACTACAAACATACATAAAACGGACACAAAGAACACCCAGACTTAGAACAACAATTTGTGGATCCCACAGTGTCGTCCCATCTGGGGATCGGACCCACAACACTCAGTGTATGATGCGGTAGGGGATAGGATGGCGGCCTGATTGCAATAAGACGCAATTGGGCCGCCACGTCACGATTGATTGGGGGGAAGTGGTGGAGTGGGAAGGGAAGTTTTGCATTTGCCAGCACTTGGTGCTTTTTTTGCGAAACAGGAGAGTGCTCATTCTCTTCTGGGCCTTTTCCACGGATTCTTTGGCCAAGATTTGCTCCATGCAAAAGGGGGATCCCAGAGACTACTATCCTAGATATCCATTACGTGGTCAAAGCGCTACGCCCATGCTGAACCCTCCAATAAGTGTGCACCTCCTAAGCAAAATCTGGATAAGATCGTTTTTACATCTCCACAATGAATTATTGGTCCCCCATTTTAAATATGTTTTTGCTTTATTTTCGCCATTTAAAGTAACCAATTTTACCTAGTCCTAAATAGTCCTAATAAAATGAACTTATCAACATTTCATTCGACTCTATTCAGTAGTATTGTTAAGTAGGTAATTCTTTCATCGGACCATACCATACCATTTTGATAATAATTGTAAATAAACGTTGATAGTTTCTAATTAAATGTCTTTAAAAAAACACCAAAAGAAAGAAATGCATTAATAAAATCGTGATAACGTTAGAGCTTTTAACTTAAAAAACACTTTAATCCTAGCAAACATAAAAGAGGCGCCAAAATAAATAAATTTACACTGCTAGGAATAATAAAATGAGCATCATCAAAAATACTGCAATAAGCACTGGTAGGTTTGAAAACTCTCAGCTCCATTTTTCGCCCCAAATTTAGACGGACTAACAATACTGTGGTACCAGACTGGGTCGACCATGACCAAGCCTGGTACCAGGGCAATAATTGTAGTCGTAGCCGGCAGTCTACTATTTATGAGAGCGGATTGCATTTAGTCAATGTGGAGCATACCTTTTCTCTTAACTGTCTTACTTTAAATCCCACCTTATTGTATGTATGTACAGTACATATTTGTAAAACAATTAAGACGAGAAAAATAATCTATAGTCTGTTTTTTAATCTCGTAGACTAAACTGACATTACGAGTGTTGTCAGTTTATTGCAATTCTTAAATAGTGATGTGGCACAACCGAAACTTAGCGTTAATAAAATCAAGTATCGTTTTTTTACTATAAGTTATCCTGAAATAATGTGTAGGTACTTATTTAAAACGTAATAATACAACATTATAAAGTAAAACATATATTTT